AGGCGTGTAAAAGCATAATTTCAAGGTAAATAAGCGCATATTACAGAATATTATAATGATTGTATGTTAGTATTACAAAAGACAGGTGTACATTATTGATGGTATTATATATTATATATATTGGTATATTCTATAAATGATTCCTAAATTTGTTCATGGAAATCTATATATGTCTCAACAAAATTTGTTCTACCCTTGGTCAAGCTTTACATATCTCTTGCCAAATCGTGCGTCTGAAATCATATTTGGGGCCATGTGATACCGCTTCTTTTCGGGGAAGGAATCTGGTGCACTCTTGTTGTGTCTTCTTTTTTTCGAGTTATTAGGAACAAAATTTTTAATGAAAATTTAATCTCGTGTTATACCTATTCGATATTGTACCACTTTTTAAGGGATAGTAAGGACGCTTAAAACCTTCTTCTCAGTGTATATAAGGCATTTGCAATATTACCCTACCTACTTTCCTAGTGACGCAAACGACGGGGGCCAGTTTCCATCAATTCAATCATCTGATTTGTATACCTTATAAAAGATATACGTTTTGTGGCGACTAATTTCAATAAACTTTTTTTTTCATTTCTCTTATAAATTATTAAGAATTTACGGATTAGATAGCAACAATAGAGCTCCTTGTGAAAGAAATTGTCTAACGTTCTACCGCCATACACATTTCTGCCACCAAGCAGTAATGTGAGTATGATGACCGCAATTTCAATATTGAAGGTCAAAAGCGATGCCAAACGGGCGGGCGATGCGTCGTCGCAACGCGATGATTTCAACGTACTAAGTTGCTTGCGGTGGTGTGCCGTATAAACGCACTATGTGGCATGTCGTTCTGATTAATATGTAGTACAACGCAAGGTCACAAAGCAACGTCGTCGCAACCCTGACGCATCGTACCGTATATTAAGTGCTGCCAGATACCTTCCACATTCTTCTCAACTTTGAGCTTCTCGCGTCATATCTATTTAACTTTTAATACAATTTTTGTAACTTTTCAGGACGTTGAAATTGTTTAAATTCAATTATATTTGTTGTCATGAACCCTAAATAGTTTACGAACGCACCCAAATTAGACAACAAAGTAACTCAAAGATAGCGTAAACAAAATGAAATCAATCAATTACTGGTTAGAGCTTGTTTTTTCTAGTGCGTACTTACTATTTTATTTTTAGGATTTAGGCATATATGAAAATTATAAATTATAGGCCCAGGCACTTAAAATCTATAGGCATATTTTAAGTTAGAATTTTAAATTAAAAAAACGAACTTGTAAAATGTAACTTTTTCAGCAAAAATGTAAATTTTTCACGCAACGAAGTGTAATTTTCCACTCAAGGACCCTTGAAAGACTGATTGTGTGATTTGTTATTTATGATTTAATAATGGATATTGGCAGGACACAATGAAAATAAATCTGTTACTGTTGTTATGTTATTGTTATTGTCGATTAAACCATTAACCGATAAACCAAATCAAAAGCCGTTTTCAGCACTAAGTGAATTTACATAATAATAAAAAAATAATAATAATAAAAATCTTTATTGCATTTCAAAAATTATAGTACAATGAACATGGTTGGAGCCCTCTAATAAGTAAAATGTACCTGTGTCAGAGGACTCCGCTCTTCCATAAATAGAACTTCAGATACAATTTTTAAAATTACAATTAGAAATTGGTTAGTAATTTAAAAAAAAACAAATGCTTAGTTGTTAATGTTAGTTGGTACAAATGGGTACTTGTTTATTTTACTATTTAGGTTTGAATTCTCCAACTTTACCAATTACGGGTTAGAAGGAACTTATTAAAAATGTGTGTGTGTCGTATGTGAGCGTGTGTGTGTATGTGTGCATGTGTATGAGTGTATTTATGCGAGCGTGTGAGTGTGTATGTTTCAGTGTTTGCGGCTACTGATGTCCGAGTGCGTGTGCATATTGTCACGTGATGAACTTTAATAATGCTTCAGTTTGTTCATAATTAAGCGTTTTAAGATAATCAATAAGAGTATGTTTACAATTATATGAGTTTTGAGGATATATATTTAAATGCTTATTAAGTTGATTAAATAAATGAGAGGCCTGTTTTTCATTTTGTCTACTAGCGAAGGTACTATTTGTGCGATGAGATACTCTGAAAGTTCTACGCTTTTTCTGGTTATTTTCGCTGTATGGCAACTGTTTGTGAAATTTTAAGGTCGCAAGAAGGATGTATAGTTTTCTCACAGAGAGCACATCACTAATGGAGTACAAACGGTCGGTTGGGAAGCTATACTTCTTAAAATGTATTACCTTCAGCAAAGAACGTTGAGCTCTTTCAACATCAATAAAATGGGTCTTTACAGCTCCACCCCATATGGGGATACAATAGGTTATTATGGACTGCGCCAGTACAATGTACACTCTTCTAAGAAGGTACGCCGGAAGTACATGTCTTAGACTCTTGAAGATCCACGTGAGTTTTCTGATCCTACTAGAAACTGCGTCAATTTGTTGAAACCATGATAATCTTTGGTCTATAATGATGCCAAGGTATCTAGTGGATGATAGTTTTTCAATGTGTGGGCATGTACAGGGATCACGTCGTCCGGGTTCACAGCAATGAGTTTTAATTACAAAATTACTCGCTGGCTGTGAACTAATACATTTAGAAAAACATATAAAGTTTGTTTTGTCGTTGTTTAGGGTCAACAAATTATCCCTCAGCCAGCAACAGACAGTAGCAAGTCCCTTCTCGGTTACACTCTGAAGTTACATAATTTGATTTATATGTCATTTAAAGAAAAAAGAATGATATGCGCGAACGCACATTTAATAAAAAGACTTAAGAATACTCTTACATAAAAAAGGCAAAAGTCTTCATACGTATCTTACAATAGATGTCCGCCTCCTGGGACACAATGAAATATTAATAATTAAATGGGAAATTAGGATTGCAAAATATTTCAAAACCAGCTTGGTCACAGTTTAGACAAACGTTAGCCAAGTTGGGAGCACACCATTACAGGGAGGGAATTGGAGTGGAAGCATACATCGTAGGCTAATTTGAATAGGGCCGGGTCGGAGGGCCCCACTCTTGCTTGACTGAGGGTCGACAATGTCACATAAATTACTACTTTATGTGTCCGGTTAGTATCTCGGAGGAGGTAAAAGTGTGATATTTGTAGTGATATTCGCGGGGTACGGGATGGGAATACATTATTTTTTGTGTGGTGAAACGGAAAGGGACTTTATGTGGGTGCGATAAGCGAACGATTACAGAATTTTCCGGTGCAAATTGCGCGGCAAAAGAATATTTCATTTTCAACGAGGACTTGGTTAAATCATAGATTTAGTAAATGCATACTGATACTTTTATGACAGGTATCCAAAGGACTTGAACAAGGCAGCTTTGATCACGAGGTTTTTCTTCATTGTTTGTCTATGCGGAGTTATGTACCTATGTAATTTTCCAATTCTTGCTTTATCTCTATCTTTGATTATCAAGGAAATTCTCATCTTTCTTTGTTTTTTATTTTTATTTGCAATATTATAAATGAGTTGGTATCATCAAATTGAGCAGCATTTTTTAATATTCCAGTTCAGTGATCCGGAAAAATGAAATTTGTAATTTGCAAAACAACATTCCGCGGTTTGTTGTCAGCTGTATTCCAACATGCTCAACTGTATCAACTCATAATGTTGATGCCTGTACGTTAAGTACGTTTATCGAAATTTTGAATGAACTTCAATGGCTACCTTTGTCCTGAGTAAGCCAAAGGCAATTCATTCTCGAGATAAAAAATATGTATAGCAATATAGCTTTTCATATGAATATGTGGGATATATTGGCAACACAAATATCTATTATGCGGCACCGTGTATAAACTTCACACGTACTTACCACTGCCATGCCATGCCGGTGAGGGCAAAGACTAAATTTCACTAAAATGAGTAAATGCGAATTAATTACGTCAATGTGCCGTCGATTACTTGATTTGTAAACTTTTCCGCTTTTATTAAGTAAAAGTAAGCGATAATTAGTTATCTCAACTGAGTTAGCTTTGCGACAGTTGAGCCATTTTAAACCATTTATTTATTTATCACACAAAAAATGCAAAACTTTTTAATGCAAACTCGGTTTGCACAGCACTGGTTTTTAGCAAGAACATCGCTGGCAGGACCTACGCTCTCACGGTGATGTACTAAATTATTTAAACAAGTAAGCACAGAACATTTACTAAATTACCTTATGAGGACTTATAAGTCTACGCGTGTGCAGATATGAAAAGGCGTTGGAATTTTTTTTTAATCCATTTCTATAAAAATAAATAAAATAAAATAAAATTCGTTTAATTCGGGCAACAAAGACCCATAGACATTATACATCACATTACATCAGTCATTACAATACATTAAAAATCAAAGTGTAATATGCTAAATCAAATTATATATATTAAATTAAGATTATAAAAATTTTATGTCAATCGCTAATGCTAATCAAATAAATTTTATCCCTACTCAAACAAATAAGAGAAACAATACATCAAGATTATTATCTATAACAGCATTATCAGTAGGCTAAAACGGACAGTTTCAGCACTCTGTATTTTAATGCAGTGCACGTTGAGGACCAACTTTCGTCGAATATTTCACAACTTTTGTACAAGTTTGTCAAAGCTGTGGTCTACCTGTTCACGCTTTCTACGCTCGCCCGCTTTTGACTGGTTTTCAATGCGAATTATGTTGAAAATGGTTCTATATTTCGTGACATATTTTATTTTTCAATTGATGTTTCGTTGGTTGAAATATATTTGGGATGGCTGTAGCAAGTGAAAAAATCAGATACTTGCAACAAAATGTTCAAGACATACGAACGTAGACGTATTGGTTTCTTTCGCGCTGTAAGGGTAAGATGGGTGCTCATAGTGACGGTTGATTATGTTTATGGGTGCTGTTATCCCTTAATTTTTTCTCTGGTTAATTAAATTGCACCCTATATAACTATTATTGTTATTGTTACAGTGATAAAAAGCGGTATGCGGCACCAGACCACGTCGTCGTTTAGTCGCGTGGGCCCTACGGTGTCGCTGCGGGACGCCGAGCCGGATTTTGCGGGGCCCATCCAGAACGTCACTGTGGCCCTCGGCAGGGAGGCTGTTCTTACTTGTTCTGTCACTGACTTGGGAGATTATAAGGTAACTCATTTTATTCAATTTACTTTCGTTTAATGTACTTTATGTCAACCAAAGGATCATGGATATGGAACATAATAAAAGAAATAAATTCTCAACATGCGTATTCTGAATATGCTATTATATTTTTCACCTCATAATCTTTTTACACGAGAACAAAAGTTGCAATTTCCGCAGCTTGTGTGTGTTCATGAGTTTCCTCCGCAGATCTAAACTATTTAACCAATTTTGAATATTATATGACATGAAGGTAGCGGGATCACCGTTGTGGCGATCCTTCGGGGAGGCGTGTCCAGGAGCTGAAATGATAATGACAATGTCACATCGTTGAATTTGTTTCGACAATCTCAATTTCATATGCTAGGGTTTTTTTCTGTGGATGTAACGTGACTGCAGTCCTCCAGAATAACAAATCGCAGCCAAGAGCACACAGGGGGCCTACTAGGAGCTTATTAGCAGCCAGACAAGCTCCATGCAATTCACTTCATGTGGTAAAACTGAATTTCTTAAATTCGTATCAAGACATACACAAAATTGAACGGGAATGGCATGGCAGGATGATGACTTTTCCTTTTTAAACGTTAATTATTGTTTCTGGCTGGCTGGCTGACATCGAACAAGAGCGAGATAGAACTACATACTAAATCATATGAAAGAAATAGACAGTATGTACTATCCCGGGAGCGTTCAAGCTCTATTAATCGATTGTGTTCAAAATGAGAATAATTATATTTTTTTATTAATTTTATTATTTATTATACTTATTACGTTGTTTTGTAATATCGGCAACTTTTCAATCATACTTTACATGATATATGTAATTTTTAACAAAATTACATGTCATGTCTAGTCATAATCATTGAAATTAATAAGGCGAATTTGTAATTTGATAACATAATTAGAACGTATCTTGTATACGTACATTTTCATTGATTGCAATAAAGTACAATTTGGTACTATTCAAAAGTTATTTTACGATTTTCGGTCAACAACATTATTAAAATTTCGTATAAAAATTGCAATAACATTGATGCCAATACATTTATCAACAATACTTTAAAAATTGGGAACTCGAACTAAAATTTTCAAAAAATGCTCAATAATTAATTGTATTTATTTATTGATAATTGGCTATATAGCCTATAAAGATAGCACATAATTATGAAACTGAAAATATAATAAAGCTTAAACGAAATTTCTTAAAAATGTAATAAAATCTAAAAAAGTTTGTCACGGAGTCACTTTTTTTGAATTGCTTATTTTTCGTGTCATGATACGATTTTGCTTACGGATTTCGAATGGGGAAAGTAAACTGCATGGACAGTGAATTGTTTTCGTTAGGTCTACGAATTTGAATTTGTCAGGCAATCCAACTTACAGGCTTAAAAAGGATTGCTCTAAGAGCTCATGGTAGGCCCCCAGAACTGTTTCTGGAACATTAGAATTTACCTGAGTCGAAGAAAAATTTAAAGCTTTTCTCTCGTTTTGTGCTTCTGAAATCAAAGCAAGCGATAATATCTATCGGTTTTAGTATATTTTGATCAAAATACATTTACAATATTGCTTACATGATCTCAAATAAAAGAGATATATTATTGCGAAGAAGCTGGAGTAATATAAGGGCTTGTATCATTTATACAGACTACATAATGTGTAGGGTTGCCGTGGGCTGATGGTGAAAAACCGAATACTTAAAATGAAGCGAATATGTATTATTGATTGTGGACCAACATTTTGCCGATTTGTTTTGTGTAGACATTTCTTACTTTAGTTTATCCTTTAAGATAAGAGGTAGAAATAGGAGAGTTATTGTCAATCGCAGCGAGTGGAGATCCGTGGGCTCTAATTGACCTATTGACAGATCGAAGCAGTGTTCTACGTAGGCATGAGTACATAGGCGTCGCACAGCTATGCGACACGGAGGAAAAGTGCTCTGAATATTGTAATGGGAAAGTATATAAAGCTGCATTCAAACTTTAAAAATTAAATGTAAAATTTCATGGTGTTCCATTAATGTAAGATACGTGTGGCGTACTATAAGTTTCCGGAATGAATAAGAAAAAAATACTATAAATTGTCAGAAATGAATTTATTGTTTCACAAAATTATTCTCTGTTAGCGTTAATGCACTTTTTCATACGAATGAATCAATTTTGAAAACATTTATGCCACTCCTCCGTGACAATCTCTGAAACATGTTTTTCATACTCTTCGACAGCCTCTTCAGGTGATGAAAATCGTTGATCGCGTAACTGGTTCTTAATTTTTGGAAATAAATAAAAGTCACAAGGTTGGCACCTTGGTCGGGACTGTACCTGGGATGGCTTATAAGTCAACGTTGTTCACCTTCAAAAATTCATTTGTCTGTCTGGCCGTGTGAGAACTGGCACGATGATACGGCGTTTACGGTTATTTTTACGGAGTTTGTCAATAACTTCCGGCAAACAAATGGTCGTGTATCAATCACTATTTACAGCACAACTATTCTCCAAAGCAGCAGTAGCCACGTGTCCAGTTTTATTAAAAAAAGATGCAACCATCCGCTTAGCGCCACTTTGGTTGGTTTTTTTTTTTTGGTCTACTCATCTCGAAACACCCATACGCTCGATTGCTGATTTGTTTTGGGATTATAACTATAAATCCATATTTCGCCACCTGTTATTATGCCCCACACCAAATTTGACGCCCCTTCGTTGAATGTGGTAAGCATGGCATTGCACCAAGTGACGCGATCCGTTTTTTGAGCCTCAGTCAAATTGTGTGTGAGAGCACAGCTTTTCACACCCAAATATTTGTGTAGTATTGATTGTATTTGACTCATGCCAAGGCCTAAAGATACCCGAATCTCATGAAGGGTATGTCACAGTCAGATGATACAAACTGTATTCTACAGCCAAAGAGTTCCATTTTCAAATGTTGTAATTATTTTTTAAATATTGTTTATGTAAGGGGCCAGTTCCGGAAACTTAGTGCGCTCGACGCTCGATGTACTATGTTACTTTAAAGAATTAATATTTGATACACCGTCGATACATCCCTTTCGATCGGCATCATTAGAATTTACAGCCTTCTTTTTTTTCGCATTTTGTAGGTTCGATTCCCAGATGAGGCAAGCAACTTTAAAAATCTTTGAATGCTGTATTATTGTATGTAATTACTTTTGAAATAAAATAATGTGTCCATTAAGCAAAATATCCTATCTACAATATTTAATGTACTGTCCCTATATTGCACCCGCAATAACAAAGTAACGAAGATTTAAAACTAACAATATTGAAAACAGACAATAAACTTACGAAATAAAACTAATACTTATGTCGTTTATCACATCAAATACAATTTTTTCATATCTGGCACCAACTGAATAGCATACAAGATTGGTGCCATGTTCGCTTTTTTATTTATTTTGTCAGTTTCCCTAAAACTACTTTTCACATCTCTTTATTTCAGTCTCTTTATTACTGAGGTTGCGGCGTAAGCCCGCCCAGATTTGATTGTATCGTTACAGCCAGACATCCTAAACTAACGTCGTTTTTTTTACTTTAACTGTTCAAAAAAGCTATAGTCTTGAAGTAGAAAGTACATAATAAAACGGTAGGATTGAATGCAATATGACGACCAAGCGAGGCGCATTGCAATATTGTTGAGCATTAGAGGACCTCCTCTCCGCATTCGTTTGTAAAGTACTTTCCAGTTTATTGACCTGAAGTCAACAGGAAGGCAATAAATTTTAACAAACTATATGTTTAATATGTATTTGAATGTTAGTAGTCATCTGATAGATTTTCGTCAAAGAGGTGTCATATTTATGTTTTTCACCTCTTAAATATGACACATTATTCTTAACCACCTTCACAATTATACGTCTCACGGCTACGATAGGGTTTAGGACGTAGTTCGCTACGCCAGCTCAACATTGATTGCGCACTTCTCGCGATTTCCAAGAGTTGTACCTTCTTTGATATGCAGGTTTCATTACCTTTACAGTTTTGCTACTAAATATTATAACAAATATATGTAACTTTAAATTGATGTCCTAACTACATACACAGATATTCGAAACGATCATCTTCCCATCGAAAAACAACCGTTCTCCCATTGAGTTATCACCGGTTGTATCGTAAAATATTGTCTCTATTTTAGCTATACAACAATGATCATTGAAAAAATTTCATTATTATTATATTCATTACAAATAGCAGCAGCGGATCAAAAATTTCGAAAATTTGCCCTTATTTTTAAAATCACCACATGAAAATTTTAATAAATATGGTGTATTGCTCATTCAAAAACAACGAGGCTATAGAAAAAACAGATACGCTATGAAATAATGTAATAGATTCATCAAAAAGTTGTCAACGTTATAAAGTAATTAAAAGCTTTATTAAACCAAACCATATTTTAAGTTTCACGTTAGCATTTTTATAAAACTATAAAAAAGCAATTTTCCTGTCACTACCATAAACTTGTGTTTTATATTCTCCGGGATAATGAGGTACTTGAGAGCTGTAGTAAAGTTGATAATGCTTCGCCTTGTTGAACCCTAGTTTATGGGGAGGCTAAATTGGGATCATCCACGTAATATTTATACTCGTAAAATGTATTTTGGAAGTTAGATAGACTTTGAACAAGATACTTGCGGCACTTATTAGACCATGCGCAGTAACAAGCCACTGCAAATATAATTAAAAGTACGAAACAAGCTCATTACGAGGCTTGTAAGAAGTTTTCTTGAGTTATTTTTTTGTACCGATGTGGTGATTATGGAATCCTTCTTTTTGGAAAGTTTATGTCCGACGTTTAAAGTGATGTACGACGCGTATCTCTACGGTCTTGGATTAAAAAACCAAAGTGCCAACATTATCTAGACGTTTTATCAAAGGAACTCGAGGAAGATTAATATCATAGATTAAAAAAGACATTTATTTAGTAACCTGATATTCAGGACTTGTCGCGAACCGGCACAGATAGGATCTGTATCGTTCTGAGAAAAGTATAAGGAA